TAAGCTACCAGAGCTCCTGGGAATTGCAGAAGGATCCTTGTTAAAGAAATAGAAATACCACTATTTAAAGGCTCTTCTGGACCTTTCTTGCTGAAAACACTGATTTTCTTCCCCCCAGGTTATTCTTTGAGCCTGTTACCACACCATGTGGACATATGTTTTGCCTCAGATGCCTTGATAGCTGCCTCGACCATGCTGTACATTGTCCATTGTGCAGAGAAGCACTTCCTGAAGTAAGTCGATACTGTGAAACAGTAAGACTGCTCCTCTTCTGATCCTTATTTTATGCATTTTCTTTGTCTCTGCTGCCCAGTTGTGAAAGAAGGTCAGATTTCCGCATTTATACATAGATCTTTCCCCATTTATAGATGGATCTTCTCCCACAGAGTGGCCTCAAAGACCTCAAAAGTGGCAGGATATCCAGGTTAAAAGGGGCAGGAGGCAAGGCTAAGCCCCAAGCCCCTAATGCTAGGAATGGGAGGGACCAGAAGTGGCTGGGAACAATAGAGGGGCAGGTTTCAGGTAGGACTTTGGTAAGAGGGGGATGCAGAGGTTTCCAACAGCTAAGGGAGACAAACTTTTCTGTCAGATTTTCATCCTGTGAGGCTTGTACATTGATGTCTGTGAGGCTTGGGCTGTGCCACTGGTGTTTCTGATGCCAGCAGAGTTGCACATGGTGTACATGTTTCAATGCAGTTTACAGACTAGGAAGAAGGTGGAAGCCATCTACTTGTCAAAAATTGGCCAGGAAAAACCTTATGAATATCAGAGAAACAGTGTCTGATACATTATAGGCCAGTTTATGAATAGCTTGGAACATTTTCTGACACAGTGCATGAGGACTAGCCCCTTGGGTGGGAAGGCACTCAAGATAGGACTGGGAAAGAGCTGCCTCATTAGAGTAGAACCAACCTTGATGATATGGATAAAGTAAGTCTTTCAGGACCCCCATGTGCTGACGTGGCACGACTCAATTTGAGGAGAAACACCTGAAAACATCCATTAATAATTGAAACTTGGACTGTACGAAGTACAAATCTGGGACAATTGGAAGTTCTCAAAAATGAAAAGGAACACAAAAATATTGATATCTTAGGCATTAGTGAGCTGAAATGGACTGGTTTTGGCTATTTTGAATCATACAACCATGTGATCTACTATGCCGGGAATGACAAATTGAAGACGAATGGCATGGTATTCATCATCACAAAAGATGTTTCAAGATCTGTCCTGAAGAATAAAGATGTCAATGATAGACTAATATATATACTCCTACAAGGAAGACCAGTTAATACGAGTATTATCAAATTTATGCACCAAACACCAAAGCCAAAGATGAGCAAATTGAAGATTTTTATCAACTTCTGCAGTCTTAAATTGACCGAACATGCGATCAGTATGTGTTGCTTATCACTGGTGATGGAATGCAAAAGTTGGAAGCAAAGAAGAATGAATGGTAGTTGGATAATTTGGCCTTGGTGACAGAAATAATGCTGGAGATAGCATGATATAATTTTGCAAGGCCAATGACTTATTCATTGCATAAACCTTTTTTCAACAACACAGAGAGTGGATATACACGTGGACTTTGCCAGATGGAGTACACAGAATCAGATTGACTACATCTGTGGCAAAAGGCAATGGAAAAGCTCAATATCTTCAGCCAAAACTAGACCGGGAGCTGCTTATGGAACAGACCATCAACTGCTTCTTTGCAAGCTCAACTTGAAGTTGAAGACAATTAAAACAAGTCCACGAGAGCCAAAATATGATCTTGAATATATACCTCCTGAATTTAGAGACCATTTAAAGAATAGATTTGATGTATTGAACACCAATGACCAAAAACCAGAAGAACTTTGGGATGACATCAAGAGCATCATCCATTAAGAACGCAAGAGGTCATTAAAAAGATGAGAAAGAAAGAAAATAATAAAATGGATGTCAGAAGAGATTCTGAAACCTGCCCTTGAGTGAAGAGTAGCTAAAGCAGATGGAAGAAATGACAAGATCAAAGAGCTGAACAGAAGATTTCAAAGGGCAGCTCGAGCAGACAGAGCCAATTACTATAATGAAATGTGCAAAGATGTGGAGTTAGGAAACCAAAAGGGAATAACACACTCAACATTTCTCAAGCTGAAAGAACTGAGGAAAAAAATTAAACCTCGAGTTGCAATATTGAAATAATGAATGATGCAGGAAGCATCAGAAGAAGGTTGAATGAATACACAGAGTCACTGTACCAAAAAGAACTGGTTAATCTTCATCCATTTCAAGAGGTGGTATATGTTCAAGAACCAATGGTATTGAGGAAAGAGGTCGAAGCTGCACTTAGGGAATTGGCATGGAACAAGGCTCCAGGAATTGACAGAATACCCATGGAGAGGTTTCAACATACGGATGCCCCACTGGAGGTGCTCACTCGGTTATGCCAAGAGATTTGGAAGACAGCTTCTTGATCAACTGACTGGAAGAGATCCATATTTGTACCCATTCCAAAGAAAGGTGATCCCACAGAATGTGGAAATTATCGAACGATATCATTAATATCACATGCAAATAAAATCTTACAGAAGATAATTAAAAAACGGTTTCAGGAGTATATTGACAGAGAACTTCCAGAGGTGCAAGCTGCATTCTGAAGAGGACATGGAATGGGGGATATTATTGCTGGTGTCAGATGGATCTTGGCTCAAAGTAAAGAATATCAGAAAGATGTTTACTTGTGTTTTATTGACTATGCAAAAGCATTTGATTGTGTGGATCATACCAAATTGTGGATAACTTTGAGAAGAATGGTAATTGCAGAACACTTAATTGTACTTATGAGGAACTGGTACAAAGTCCAGGAAGCTGTGGTTCACACAGAAAAAAGGAACACTGCATGATTTAATATCTAGAAGGGAGTGCATCAGGTTGTATCCTTTCACCATAGTTATTCAATCTATATGCCGAGCAAATAATCTGAGAAGCTGGACTATACGAAGAAGAATGATATGCTGATGACATAACTTTGCTTGCTGAAAGTGAGGATGACTTGAAGTACTTACAGATGAAGATTGAAGAATACAGTCTGCAGTATGGATTACACCTCAATATAAAGAAAACAAAAATCCTCGCAACTGGACCTATAAGCAGCATCATGATAATTGGAGAAAAGATTGAGGTTGTCAAAGACTTCATATTACTTGGTTCTACAATCATCCTCAATGGAAGCAGCAGTCAGGAAATCAGGTACTGTATTACATTAGGCACATCTGCAAAAGACCACTTTAAAGTGTGAAAGAGCAAAGATGTGACTTTGGTGACTTAAGGTTCACCTGACCCAAGCCAT